CAGCCTGGGCGCCGCCTGCCCCACCCGGCCCGGCGGGAGGACGCGGCCGAGAGGCTCCGCGGGCCGGGGACCGCGACCGGCGCGCCCAGTGAGGGGCTTTCCTAATTCGGAGAAGGCTTAAGCCGACTTCACCAGTTGGCGCGGCGCAGCTGGCCGCGCAGGCTCGTGGAGCCGAACGTGTAAAATCCGGTGGGACACTCAAATTGCACGGGCTTCTCCGCGGCGGATGCGCTGCTCCAGCGCTGTGCACAGGCGGGGGCTGCCGGGCGACCTTCTCGGCCCGGATCTGCCTTGGCATGTCCAGTGCTCGGATTCCATGATCAAATGTGTCAGCAGCAGCAGGTCAGGCAGTTTATGGTGTATCTGAGATTTGAGAAACAAGCTGCTATTTTGGAGTTTGAAAAGGAGATGACGTTTCATTACTCTGCGGAGAAATGTTCTATTCTCCCTTCAAATTAAGTTTTAATCAAATGGTATCAGTCTGGAAACTTTGTGTTAATGAGCAGTGTGTACTTTTTCATTTATGAAAAACAAAAACAGCTAAAGACAGTGCCTTCGTGACGAGGGAGCTGCATTCCTGAAAATGTTTGGGACACCGCGTTATGAGCAAATGACCACACTCCGTGAGCTGCTGGCTCTGCCTTCCAGCCAAAAGCTAAGGCTGAGCCTCCCGCGACAGTGATATGTGTACACAAAGGAATTAAAGGCAGTTTACGACAAAATCGGGTAGAATAATAACAAGTACATATATAATATATATAACTAGAAATTGGAAGCAGAGGAAATGTAAGCACAGGAAATAAGTCCAGGGTAAGGAAAGAATAAGGTGTGCCAGTGCTGTCCAATAGAGGTTTCCGTGGTGATGGAAAGGTGCTACATTTAATTTACATTTAAATAGCCACATGTGCCTAGTGGCAGCCTTAAAGGATAGTGCAGGTTTCTGTGGTTGAGTCTCAAATTAGTCTCTAGAAAGGTAAACTTGGTATTACAGGGTTCTCGTCATTTGAAAGTAAAACATACTTAGCGACTTCGTTTGTTCATTCATCCCTCAAATATAAACGGCCTTGAAGGAAGCAGAGCCTTTCCTGATACTCAGCTATAAGGACAATTTTTTGTGAACTTCCTTATCAGGGCACCTTGATATTGTCGTTTGAAAGTCTGTTGTAGTAAGGAATTGGGACTGTGAGGAATGGAGTCACTGGATATGGCATAACTTGTAACTTTTGTTTATTTGAATAATTATACTAACTAACCTGTATAGAAAGATTTAAAGTATATAGATAAGCAAAAAGAAACTAAATCATTAAAAGTTCCACGACTCAGACCTAAATTACTGTTAATATTTTGGTGTATATATTTCCAGACTTTTGTCCCATGTAGCCATTGTACTTTCCTTAGTAGGTCCCCAAATATCCAACTCCCTCCATAGAAGGGAAGTCTATTCTGGGGGTGAGGTTTGCTTTTACATTTACCCTTGGACCTCTCAGACCAGTACCTGGCCCCACATGAGAAGGTCACCCTCGCCCTAATCCTTTCCCATACTTCTGCCAGTGGTCTGGCTTTGGAGTAGTGATTATAGGTACTTGAGAAGGCCTTTCAGGAGGAAAGAGGAGGCAGGTCACAACTGTAGTTCATTCTATATAATGAGTATTCCAGGGTTTCTCAGTCTTGGCACTGTTGACATTTGGGGCTAGATAACTCTGTTGTGTGTGGGTGGTGGTAGTGGGGAATGTCCTGTGCATTATAGGATGTTTTGCAGCATTCCTGGCCTCTATCCACTAGATGCTGGTGGCACACTCCCCCTTCCCCGCAGTGTGACAATCAGAAATGTCAGTGAGAATCACTGGGTTAATAGAAATCACTGTTATTGCTGACACACTCTAAAGAGTTTCAAATTTGCATGTGGGAGAGAGACTGAAATCGAGAGGCATAATGTAAGCTAAGGAAGCTGTTTAGTCCTGGCAGCACTGTTAATTTATTGTGAGGTTTTGGTGGGTAAGTTTATCAGTTAGGATCTCAACAAGAAAAAGCACAAAAGTGAAAGGAATATTTGAGGGACTCTGTATAGAAAAGTGGGCAGGATTAGGTGAACCAAGAATTGATTGTGAGGCACTCAGGGGAGAGCCCCGGTGGGGTGCCTTTCCCACTCTGGTCTGAAGGGGCAGGGAGGAGACTGATACCAGAATGGGGGGACTGAAAAACTGGAGGAAGGACCTCCCCTTTCTGGGGTTGCTGTGGCCATCACAGAATTCAGCCTTTGCAAGAGCAGCAGCCTGAGGGACCAGGCAGGTGGGGCATAAGTACCCCAGCCTCTCTGTTTCTGTTCTGTGCCCACTGAAAATGGAAAGGCAAGGGGGAGGGAGTGCAGGGGGGCATGGAGAGGACCCGCAGGAGCTCCCACCAGCAGCAGTGCAGCAGTCCAGTGTCTGCGCCTCTGCAGAGTGAAGGTTTGGGCTCCACTTCTTAAGGTATATTATGGGAATGAAAAGAATTAGGCAAAAAACGTTTTGAAAAGTAAAGCACCTACACATTTGGTTCACTGCTGTTTTTGACCTCATGCAGTGATGTCAAGTCATTTTGTTTTTTAAGTACTGCAGTATTTAGATTTTTTTATCCTCCTTATTTCAACTCAGTCTGGTGTACTAAAGCAAATATTTGCTGGTGCCTGAGTAAATTGTTGAATATTTTATACATACCTTGTACTTCTACATATTATTTTTCTTGTAGCTTAATGTTTTCCCTTTTTCTATGACAAACAATATCAGAAAACCTCACAGTTTGAAAAGGCCTTAAAGTTTCTCACCTGAAACCTAAGAATTTGCAGCCCCTTAAAAAAACTGCATAGAAAAACAAAACAGTGAAAGAATGTGATATGCTCAGTGTGAAGAGTAAATGATTTATATAATTAACATGAAAGGCAGAAATAACACATTGTAAAATCTTGCTTTTAAAAACCTTGACTGATCTTCTGAGGAAGGAAAACATGTTCTCTTTAGAGATCTTTAAAAGCATAGTTATTGAGCTTTTAAAATGTTAGAAACAAAAGTTAGAACTACATGTATTTTGCTTGTGTGGAAGATTGTGTTCCTTGGCCCCCCGACTTGTGAGGTGTGCTATGTATTCTTAGCTGTCCCAGCAGTTCCAGGTTTCCTGGAACACCGCACTTTGCCAGAAAGAACTAGTCATTCAGCAGTAGGGGGCTGTATTCATCTGTTTCTGTTGCTTATAACAGAATACCTGAACCTGGGTAATTTATAAAGAAATAAAATTTATTTCTTACAGTTTGGAGGCTGGGAAGTCCATCATCCAGGGAACACATCTGTGAAGACCTTCCTCTGGTTGGTGACTCTCCGCAGCAACACAGGATAGCACATTGTAAGAGAAAATGGCATGGGCGAGGGAGCTAACCTCCTCACTTGCCCTCCGTATAAAGCCATCAGACCCATGCCCATGACTCCATGAATGCATCAGTCCATTCAGGAGGGCACAGTCCTCACAGTCTAATCACTTTTAAAGGCCCCACCATTCAGTCTTTCAATTACCACAATACCATAGCACTGTTACAGTGGGGTTCAAGTTTACAGTACGTGAACTTTTGGGGGACACATTTGACCCATAGCAGGGACCAACGTTAGGACCTGGACCTTTTGGGGGGGTCAGTGCCTAAGAACATGAGTGGGACCCAAGAATGTCTTGATCTTAACCCAATTTTGAAATTGAGTTACATGTTGTTCTACAATTATTTGAGTTAGTAAGTAGCTCTTTTAAAACATGGATATACCCTTGAGAGTTTAAATATACTAGACATTTATTCTTTGGTAAGAGTGATTTGCCTCATGTTATCTCATTTCTCTCTGTTATATCAGCACCACTTCCAGTAAAAGGTAGAAGCTTTGGAAATGCCAGTGAAGAGGAATAAGAAACATGGAGCAGATGGGCGGGGATAGAAAGGTCGGGTGGGGAAGAGGGTGGGTCTTGTTTGGCAGAGGTGCCAAGGAGCTTTATCTGTTAGCACTTTTGTACCTGGAGCCTCAGAACGCAGTAGTTTCAACCTAGTTTACTTGCTAGTTTACTTGTGTCTGTCTACCCCCTGAGGAAGCAGAAGAGAAGCAGGGAGCCTTCAGTTAACCAAGCCAAGCACCAAGAAACTTAAACCAAAAGGGAACAAAAATATAGAAGTAAAGTGGGTTAGAATTATAGCATGTCAGCACTGAAAGAGAGCGTAGGGGTCATCTAAGTTCATCTGACCCCTCTACTTTTTTAAAGTGCAGAAACTAATGCACAGGGAGACCACGTGCCCCAGCCTTGATCACACAGCTAGTGGTGTCCAAGCCAAGTCTAGAATTCTGGTCTCTTGAGTCACAGGCGGGCTCCTCATCCCCAAGCAAGACAGCTTATCTCAAGACACCTGAGTGCATTGTGTTTGGGGGTCAAAGCAAATAAAGGCTCAAACTCTAAGACTGTTTAGCAGACCTGCTGCAGTAGATATGGGGGGAGGAGAAACCAACTTTAAATTGCATTAGGCAGGTTATTTATGCAAACGTATTGACTTTTTTCAACTTGCTATTGAACCAGTGCAGCCTCAGCTGTTATTTGTCATTGCGTAGTAATTCAGGAACTAACTCAAGATTCTTCTTCTTTTTTAAATTACTTAACTTCTTTAAACATGGTATATACCATGTTTCTGGATGAGAAGGATTATTAATTCACCCTAAATTAATTTATGAATTTGATGCAATCATGGTCACAATACCAGTGGAATTTTTTTTTTACTTAACAGAGATGTTCTAATATTACTCTGGAAGTCTTAGCAAGCAGGAATAGAAAAGAGTATTGAACAAGATTAATGAGAGAACTTGAACTACCAGGCATCAAAACATGGTAAAGCCACAATCATGTAAACAGATATTATAGGCATGGGAAGAGAGGTCTATAGCACACCAGAGAAAGTGGGGGAAAAAAAGAATAACTGTATTCCTAAGAATTTAAGTGTGGAATCAGTGGGGAAAGGAATGAATTATTCAGTAAATAATGTGGACATAACTATTTGGGAAAAAGTAAAGTTATAGTCTTATATCTAGTCATGTACCAAAATACAATTCAGATTGATTAAAAAGTAAAAATGTAATGAAAAAATTAAAGAACTAAAAGAAATAAAAATGTATCTATAAGTATCTTAGGAATGTCTTTCTAAACATAACACTAAAAGTCAGAAAACTTAAAGCATTTTCATGTTTGGCCATTTAAATATTAAACCCTTGAAATAAAGAAAACCTAAACAAACCTAGGTCTTCTTGTTTTAGAATTAGGTGCTAGATGTTTCAGGATATATTAAAATATAGAATAAAACTCTCCCTGGATTCTGTTTGAAGTTTAACTGGTCCTGGAAGAATGGTGGGGAGTAAAGGAGAGAAAGGTGTGTACGATGGCGGGAAAGTAGGGTGTTGGGAGGTGAAGCCAGATCTCACCTGGCCTGTGGTTCCTGCATCTTCTGACAGTGCCATCTTATCAGGGGAGCTGAAAGTTGGAGGGGAAGGAACATGGAAAGGATCTGACTGGCCTTTGCAGTTATGTGACCATGGCAGGTCCCGCCGGTTGCTTGAGGTTCCATGAGCATCTGCTAGAATAGCCCAGTTGAATGTGCTTCATAAACGGCAATATCATTCATTATGTATGGTGTTACCCCTCCCCCATGTCCAACAAGGTAGAATTTCTAGGTGGGATTCTTTCTCGTGCATATGCACCTCTCAAAATCTGTTTTTTGTTCTCTTTTGTTTTGCTTTCCCGAAATTCTGTAGGAGAACAGTGAAGTTAGGTAATGTTTCGTAGACTGCTTCTGTAGGAAAGCTTTCCTGTAATTTCTCATCAGAAAGGGATAGATAGCACCTACTCATGATGTTTCTAATCTGAAAATCTGAAATCAAAAATGCTTCAAAATCCAAAACATTTTGGGCGCAGATGTGATGCTCAAAGGAATGCTCATTGGAGCATTTGGATTTCTGATTTTTGCATTTGGGATGCTCAACTGGTAAGCGTATAATGCAAATAGTTCAAAATCTGAAAAAATTTCACATCTCAAACATTTTGGATAAGGGATACTCAACAAGGACAAAGGACTCAGGATAATTTAATGATTTCTCCTAAATGGGGTTTGGGGCCTGGATACAGAAATAGGAAGCAGTGGAATTGCTAGGTCAGAGGTTGTGTGCATTTGGAATTTTAACAGGTATTGCTAAACTGCCTTCCATTGAGATGGTACCCTTCTGTAGTTCCCCAGTACTGTCAGAGAGAACACTCCTTGTTACCTGTTGGGAAAATAGAATAGTTTGGTCAGGGCCCTTGCCTTGGGTCTCGTTGGGTGTGGTTTAGCACATCCATTGTAAGTAAATTGTGTGTGTGTGTGTGTGTGTGTGTGTGTGTGTGTGTGTGTGTGTGTGTGGAGTTAGTGTGCATGTGCACCAATGTATCTTTTTAGTTTTGTTGTTATTGTGTTCTTCAGAAAGAGAGGGAGAGGGAGAGAGAGGAGAGAGAGGAGTTTTAGTGAAGCAGGCAGGCGGGCATCTGCCTTGGGCATCTGCCCTGTGCGGCCATGCTTTCCAACCTATGGCTTCAAGGACCTTTTGGCCAGTTACCTAGTTTATAGACCTGCAAGTGAGGGGTCTGGGGACCCAGCCTAGCCTATGAAGGATTTGTGATCCAGTCTGTGAATGGGCTTGAGGGGTCTGTGAGCTCCAGACCCAGCCCTAGCTCAACAATTGGCCCAGTTGGCAGGATTACTGGCAGTTAAAAGAGCCCAACAACTGGCGTGGTCACCTAGCTTTACAATTGGTGTCACGAACAGTATTAAGAGCTAGACAATTGGTGCTGTGAACAGGATTCCAGACATTAGCTGTGGCTCCACATTACCCTTTGACCAGCACACTCTGGCAAATATTTTCATCTGTCATTCTGAGAGGGCGTCTTGGTGAAATCATAATTTATACTCTTTGATTATGACTGAGGTTGAATATCATTTTACCTGTTTTGTCACTTGAATTTCCTTTCCTGGTAACCAGAGAGCATTTTAGAGCTGGAATAGACCTTGAGATGAAGTCCATTCTTTCAGCCTACAGTTGAGGAACTTGTTTGAGCATGGTTGCTTGGGTAGTTCATGACTGACACAGGACCAAACACCAGGTCTCCTATTTATCATAATAGCTTGCTGGGTGACTGTAAGACAGGACCTGTAAAGGTCTTTGGAGCAATCTAGGGTTTGTCTCTAGAACTAGAAAGTCTGGAAATCACAGGGCAATGCCATAATGCCTTGGCCAAGTGCTTTTACCTTCCCTGAATTTCAGGCTCTTCATCTGGAACAAGGAATTAATACTAGCTTTTTTTTGCCAAGGTTTAGGACTAATGTATGTAAAGTAGTTGACACAAATAGCCTTACAACTGTTACCATCTTCCTCATATTTGTGCATTTTGTTATCTGGCTGCCACACTCACATTTAAGCCTCAGGGAGACTTGAAATAAAGTACTTAAATAAATAAATAAAGCATGGAAAAGTGTTGGTGAGGGCATCTATGCAGGGCTTCCAGGTAGCAAAGGGAGGGCAGGCAACAGAGCGTGCTCTCTGGGAGCCTCTGCAGTGCAAACCATTGCCCAGCAGGCATCCTTGACTTAGTTCCCTCCCCCCACCTCACCCCATTTAGCTATGGTGTCTTAGCTAGTCTTCTGAGATATTTAATGCTTAAGAAGACATCACAGGAATACTGACTCCCACAAGTTCCCTTTTTCAGATTTGTCAGGAGATACGAAAAGGCTCCAGATTGCACAAGGAAAGACAGCATGTGTGCTGGCCAGGTTGGGTCATGAAGGAGGAATGGGAAGAGAGAAGGGAGGGAGAGGAATTGCTGAAAGTGTTAATTTCAACACAAAACCCAGATGATCACCCCAGGTTGTTTTAGGGTTGCTGAGAGTCAAGGTTTTTTTTCTTTTATGGGGGTTATTATTTTCACTGTTGTTATACATAGTTATCATCTCTATGCTTAACCAAATAGAATGAGATCAAATGTAGTGCTGGCTTTAAGGACAAGGCTGCCACAGCCTTCCCTTTGAGAAGCCCCAGAGCTTCTGAAAGCCTTCCCTTTCACACCCCTTCCTGTCAGTGAGCTCAGAGCAGTCACTTGCATGGGCTTCGGGGACATCCCACCCAGGAAGAGGGGCTGGGGGGCATCTACAGTCCTTCCTCCATCACCTCTACTTATCCACTTGCCCCACCCTTGCCTGCCCAGTTTTAGTCAAAGTGGCAGTTCTAGCGGCTCTGAAAAATGAATGAAAAAGTTAATCTTTACAGGCCTCTCTGTTCTACTTCAATTCTAGTGTTTCTCCAAATGGAGCCTGATGAAGACACAGATTTATGAATTATGTTGACTTCCCCTTTGGATTTCTTGAGAGGAAGAGGTTTGCTGAACACCGGGAACTTCCTTACTTCTGTCCCAAGGACGGTTTTTAGGTTTGTTCTACACTGGAGTGGAAAGAGACATCGCCCCAATTTGGCCACAGGAAGCATTTTTGTCCATGCGCTTCGTCGACTTGAATCACATTCACTTTATGGTCACGTTTGCTCTGGCAGCCATTCCCCCCTTAACCCACTCACTTTGCCACCAACCCACTCTTCTTTCTTTTCTTTTCTTTTCTTTTTTTTCTAAAAAGATGACCGGTAAGGGGATCTTTACCCTTGACTTGGTGTCGTCAGCACCACGCTCAGCCAGTGAGCAAACCGGCCATCCCTATATGGGACCCGAACCCGGGGCCTTGGTGTTATCAGCACCGCACTCTACCGAGTGAGCCACGGGCCGGCCCGAAGACACAGATTCTTATAGCTTCCCCTCCACTCTAAGCCTTCTGAATCAGAATCTAGGGGTGGAACCCAGACATATGCATTTTTAACAAGTAGTCCCAGGAGTACATGAAGGTTTGAAACCACACTGTCTCTTCATTTCTTTTCCCTAACTAACCTGCCTCCCCCTGTTGCATCTTTTCTTACCTCATTCCTTCTGACTCCTGCATGCCTATTTGCTCCCTCTCCTTTCTTCTCCTTAAAGCTAAGAGTGTAGTGTAGCCTGTTGAGCTGTTCTTTTAACATCATAAATTGAAGTCCTCTGGAAACTCAGCTGGGAGGAAAAGAATAAGGGTGTGTAAGGGTGTGTATTTCTCATGACATTGCTTGTCCCCGTGAAAGACGTCCAGATTAAAAGCTGTCCTCTCCAAGCACCAGCTTTGAGACATGCATCATTCCCACGGAGGCATCACATTTCCAGCTACTCTTCCCATATAGGAGATGGATCTTGGGGGATGGAAATGCCCTTCTCTAGAGAAACATTGCTGCTGTGACGTCCCAGGGAAGTCGGTGACCACCAGCCCCAGAGTAGACACCAGTCTGGGTATCTTTGCTGGAGGGCACAAGGTGGTGAAGGCATTTGAGGAAGATGGAACTGATGGGACAGGAAGCAGTGGGAGAGAAAGTCGGGTAGCGGAGGGGAGTGTTTGCATGCAGTTTGGGGCAGGTGCCACCAGAGTCCTGAACCTCTGCTTTTGTCTTCACAGCCGCTGAAGGAAGAGAGCAAGATGAATGCAGAGGTGAGTTCTGTACGAAGACCAGTTTCAGGGATGCTTTTTTTGCAGTGTCCCTCATTTCTCCTCTGTAGGGTATTCTTCCCCTTTCAGAAACTACAGCACAACCAAACATTTCCCCTCCCTCCTACTGACGTGTTCATGGCTCTGGGTAATGTAGGGAGAATTAGGCCCCTCTGAGTTCTTATCTGTGTCCATCCTCCAGCTTCAGTTAGATTCAAATTTCCCCACCACAGCTAATCCTGAAACAACACTCACGAGCGAGGGGTGGCACGGGGTGTAGACGGTGCTGGGTCCAGAGCCCTGCTTTGTGTTATTCTGGGGACACTTAATGTTTGTGAGGACCTTTGTCTGCATTGTGTCCTTGGTGTTCTCACTTCCTGAGCTTTGATCCAAGGAGATGTCAGCTTCTTCATTATCCCTTTGTTTTTTCTCTTTGTTTTATGAATCAGCTTCTACTGCTTTCACCACCCCGAAGGCCAACCTAGACCTTGGGACTCATCACTTAAGCCACTGTTGTGCTGATGCACTCAACTCCTTGTCCCCTGTTCCTGTCAATTCACCAAAGGCTGCTCCCACAGGATGGTGGTCTTGGGTGCATGGTGCAGCTTTGTGCTGTTTGCAGCTGGCAGATGTCTCACAGGCCTCTTCTGGGACACAGTACTGCCCGCCAGGCCCTCTGGGAGGCCTCAGGCAGCTAGTTCCCTGGCCCTGAGCCACCAGGTCCAGCCTCCGTCGTCCTGCGTGTGCGCTGCACTCCCCACAGCCCCTCCTTCCTCTCAGAACCTGCGTCACTTCTTATTTCACAGAGACATGAAGCATTCGGTCTGACGTCACCTCACTCCGTTTCTGCCTGGTCACTTGGCTTGTTCCTCTTGTCACTGTGGGGGGACATTTATCAGCAGGAGAGCTCCCAGATGTAAGGATTAAAAAACCAACCTAATGTGGCTTCTTTCCTGGAAGTCCAGATGAAGGACAGGCTTTAGGGCCATTTGATCAGTGGCTCAGGATCTCATCAAGGATCTGGGATCTTTCCATCTCTCTGCTATTCATCTATATGTTGGCTTCATCCTAGGGGCAGTTCCCTTGTGGTTGTAGGATGGCTACCAGCAGAGTTCTCATTCCCTTTCAGCAGGAGAATGAAGTGGCTTCCTGCAGCTCTTTACACGAGTAGGAACTTCTTGTTTTGAATCTCCACAAAATGCCTCCTTAGGTCTTTTTGGCCAGACAGACTCGTAGAACATTCTACTCAACAATAGCAGGACATACATTCTTTCAAGTGTGCCCAGAACATTTACCAAGGTAGACCATATTCTGGATCATAAAGCATGTCTCAATAAATTTAAAAGTATTTAAATCATTTAAAGGATATTCTCGACTGAGACCAGAGCAGTTGACACAGGAAGAGGGGCAGGATCCATGGGAAGTGGTGATGACTGGATATTGAAGGCAGAGGACAGGGGCTAGTCTGAAAAGACATTCATGTTTCCATGCTTGGAGACATTCAAGAACTGGGTTCGAGGGATGTGTAGGGATCATTTTTATCAGTTTGGATTATATTGAGTTGCTGTCCAACTTTAAAAAGTCAACTTGGTTTTTTTTTACTGTAATACTATTAACAGATGGCCTCCAGAAATGTGCTTAAATAATAGTGAAGGTACCCCAGGGGAGTGGAAGTGAAGTTGGTTGGAACTGAGAAAACTTAATGAGGAGTTTAACCCCTTGGGTCCCGAGTCCAAGTGAGGGAACAGATCGTGGTTTGCCCGTTTGCCCTTGTCTGCTGGCGCCTCACTAGCAGTTGTGGCCTCTGAGTGCCTCCCAGCTGTGTCAGATGTGCATGTCCACTGGAGGAGGGCTTCCGGGAGGACAGAGGCTTCAGACCACGGTGGGATGTGGCTCGAGAGGGAAACTCCCTCATCATTAGAGAGGTGGCAGTAACAGTGGAGAGCCGAAAGGGGGTCTTTTTCCATAGGTGCTTGGGAGGTTTCAATACAGAGACACAGTCAGAGCACCTTCAGGCATATGTTTTGGGTGGAGCTGACTTATCTCTGAACCCTCATTTTGGGGAGTGTCTTATCCCACCCTCAGTGCTGCAGCTTCATGTGTTCTGTGTTGACTGCTTTTCCTGCCTGTGAGGACCCTGTTTTGCTGTTCTCTGTTAGATGCCTGGACTGTTTTCAGTCCCCACCTTGGTCCCTTGTGTTTCAGCCTGAGAGGAAATTTGGCGTGGTTGTGGTTGGTGTTGGCAGAGCCGGCTCCGTGCGGATGAGGGACTTGCGGAATCCACATGCTTCCTCAGCATTCCTGAACCTGATTGGCTTCGTGTCCAGGTGGCTCACACTTGCCTTGTGCCTCATAATTCATGAAAAGTCAGTGAGACGGATTAGGCCACAGGATGGGGAGATTTTCCAGACCCAGGGTAGGGAGAGCCGGCTCCCGCAAGAGATCTGTGCTCAGGGTCAGCCCCGTGAGATCTCAAGTTCCAGTGGGTCTGGGAACTGAGGAGTGATAGGCCTGTGGCTGGGGTGTGCAGTGAGTCAGCTTGGGTTGGGGGGCAAAGACAGGCAGGGAAGATGAGTGCAGGGTCTGCCAGTCAGAAGGGTCACGGTGAACGCATGGTGGGTTTGCCCTGAAAGAAGGCTTTAGGTGGGTGCCAGTTAATTGTTTCATCAGTCATCATAACAGCCATCCCTGTGGTGGCCCTGATGATGTGCCATTCTAAGTATCATTATCAACTCCAGTTTACAGATAAGGATGCTGAGCCACAGAAAGGTTAAGTAATTTACCTGGGGTCACACAGCTGGAAAGTCTAAGAATTGGATATGAATGCAACATGTGTTTGATTCCAAAGCCCGTCTTTTACACACCACGTGTTCTTTTCCCATTGGTAATTTTGAGCCCCACTTTTCTTTAAGGATTCATTTATCTCTAGTCCAAACCAACTTTATTACCTTGTTTCTTCTTCCTCACCCTGTATTCATCTCTTCCCCTCACCCCTGTGGAAGCATTCCCACATAGACACACACATCACTCACCAACTAATCCTGTGTCACATCATTTATCAGTATTAATTGTGAATTAGGTGCAGGCACTGGGCTGGGTATGGAGACATGGCAGTGAGCAAGTTAGGCAAATCTCTATTTTCTGGTGCTTTAGAGACATCAGATAGATATTTATGCAAAGCATAAGTAACTATTGTAATGGTTCATGCAGAAGTTTTTTCATATTTTAATTCATGGGAACACTTTCATCCAATCTGCCTGTCTCAATCCAGCCCCTCTTTGTAGGATTTAAAGTGGGTTTGGGGGCACTAGGGAGATCCAGAAGTGCTGGAATGTGCCCTTGGCCAGTCTTCTCTTCCCTGTAAGAATCCAAGGAAACTGCACACAAATTGGGGATCAAAGTTATCATTAGCCAGCACTATAACCCCCACTGCATTCCTACCTGAAGCTGGGATTGAGCATCCCAGTTGGGCTCAAGGCTGAAGTGGGACCTCTCCTTTTCCCTTAAGCCCCAATCTTCTACCAGTTGGCTGCCAAGATTGACACAGTGCGATCTCCTAAACGACCCAGGTCATGTGGGATGATGGCTGGCTCACACTCCTGCTTTACGGTGCCCCTGCCACTCCTCACCCTAAACCCCTTCTCACAGCCCTGCTTCCCATGACCTACCAACTCAGTTCTGCCACCTTGCCAGCAAGCCTGCTCTGAAACCCTGAACTAGATACGTTCCTTGCCTTCTCCGAGTCTCTCATCCCTACTTCCCAGCACATTTTTCATGTCAGTCTTGTGGTATGTGTGTGCGTGTGTGTTTATCTTTCTCTCTCTATTAGACTGTGAGCTGATTGGAAGGTGAAGATTTTAATTTATTCTCCATGATTTTTCCTATAGTGCTTCATACACAGTAGGCAGATAATAAGTATTGGTCAAATTGAGCAGTGTGGGTTGGGTAGCCCCATAGGAAGGAATCTGGCTTAATATCCTTTGGGAGCCTAACTTCCCCAAAAGCCCTCTGCCTACTGCAGCTCAGCTAGAGCTCGGAGCTGGCTGAGAGCCTCCTGCTGGCTGCTGCACATCCTCTATCACAGCCATCCTTGGAGGACTTCTCTCCTCCTCCAGCCTCTGCACTCAGGCAATATACAGACTGCCAGGGCTTTGGCTCTTCTAAAGCTGGAGCCCCTCCATACTCTGTAAGAGTCAGGAGGCCTTGGCTTCCTGTCCTGACTCTGATCCTAGTTAGCTGTGGCAGTCACTGGGCTTCATTAGCTCAGCAGTAAAGGAGGCAGTAACACCCTCTTTCCACTTGACCGTCACTAGGTGATGAAGTATGGGAAGGACTTGCAGTCACATGGCATTTGTACCCAAAATGTGTTATTGAATTGGATTTGAATTGGGTTTGGTAGTCATAATGTTTGGCCATCTGCTTGGAACTGTAAGTGACCACAGAGAGCTCTTCGCATGAGAAAAAAGGAGATTGTTTTTTGTTTTAGAGAAGGAGTAATTCAAAGACTCTCAGATCATATACACTGTTAGTGGTAAGTGTTGGCACTTGATGCTGCCAAGTCCTCTGGCTTCAGCCCTGAGACTTTTTTTTACTCCATGGTGGAAAATATCCTGAAAGTGGGAGGGAGGAAATTAATTTCTTCATTTCCAAAAGCTGATCTTCAGGATATTGTTGGGTGGCAGGAAGAAAGATGGTGCTCATTTATTCTAAGCTGACATTTTGCCTTCTTTTGAGTTCCATTTCCCTGTTATTCTGAAGTAGACGAGACCTTGGGAGCATTGATGAGGTACAGCAGATTTCTTTGGAAGATGCTCTTTCTAGCCGAGAGGTTGAGGTCGCCTATGTCTGCAGTGAAAGCTCCAGCCATGAAGACTATGTCAGGTGGGTTTTCAATGTAGGCTGTACTTTCCCTGCACACTAGTGCAGGACTATAAAAGTGATGGAGCACGCTGAAACCCCGCAAAGGGGTCTTAATAGTCAATGTGGAAAATTACAATTGTTCAGTGACCTTTGAAATTTGTTGTCAAAATGTTAAAAAAAGGTCTTACTGTTGGTTGTTAATGTATAAGGAAGTGGAGAAAATAGGGAAACTAGTATTTATTTAGTATTTTTTCAATTACTGCAGTAGATTGAATGGCCCCCCAAAGTCATTGAAATTTAGTCCCCACTGTAACTGTTGAGGGTGGGAAATCCTATCAATATAATGGAAAGGTAAGGCCTTGAAGAGATGATTAGGACGTGAGCACTGTGCCCAAGTGGTTTGATCGTTTAATGGTGGTCATGGCATGGTTCGGAGGCTTTCAAAGGAGGAGGTGTGAGGAGTCAGCCCCCTCTCTGCTTCCATCAGCCTGCATGGGATTCCCTGCATTGTTGTAGCGTTACCACCAAGCACAAGGCTCTCACCAGATATGTTCCATGGACTCTGGACTTCTTAACCTCCCAAACTATAAGCAATACATTGTTTTCTTACAAATTACCTAGTTACACCTATTGCAGCAGAAGTAGACTAATACAATTAACATAATAGGATTTTTCCACCTTCTTCACACTGTCACAGTGGGGATTAAGTTTTCAACATGAGCTCTGGAGGGACACAATTCAATCCACAGCAAACGGCTCATACTTCAAGACCCAATTCAGATGTCGTTAGTGACCTTTTCACACTGCTTCAAGCAGAGCTAGTTGCCATGGGTTTTGTAGTTTTCAATTTATAGCTTACATGTGGTAATAGGTAATTTAATTGTTAATGAGTCTTTGTTTCTCCTCTAGAGTAAATGGTAAGTAGTACTTAATTGAATAAACGATTGGATGAATGTTCCACTTATTACCTAACTAGAAAGTCATTCTTTCACAGGATAGTAGAAAACAATGGGAGGCACCATTCTCTTCCATACTCTCTGGTACATACTCTTACCCCCGTTCATGACACACACAGACACACACACACACACACACACAGAGACACACAGACACACACATACACACGACTCTTGTGCACTTACAACATTCTGCTTTCTGTCATTCAGAACATTTTAGTGAAGCTTATTTGATGTGTTCTTTCCCTGTACTTATCTCTTTTACCAAAGGCAGTTCCTTAATGCTGGCAAGCATGTGCTTGTGGAATACCCCATGACGCTGTCTTCCGCAGCAGCTCAGGAACTGTGGGAACTGGCCGAGCAGAAAGGTGACGTATGCTCTGTCTGGAATGTGGCTGCTCTCACTAAGGGTTTCTGCCTCCAGTATTTCTATGGTACCGTCTTTCTGCCTTTAAAGTTTAACCCCATTTTAGATATTTTGCCCTGGCTACACTGGTACTATGGGCTCCCAACCCCCTCTGCACCCCCATACTGTAGGCGTACATAGGGAGGGATGTGAGGGCAGAGAGATGGGTGGGAGTTTGTAGTCTTTTGGCCAAGGCTTATCAGCCTCTTTACTTTAATGAAAAAATATGAATTAGCTTCCACCTATGCTAGTATCATGACATTATTTTGGTTTTATTCAGGTGATACTTACGTTGCTAATGGAATAATGCCCAGATCAGAGTACAGTCATTCCTTGGTATCTGTGGGGAATTGACCACCTATTTACACCAAAATCCTCAAATGCTCAAAGTCCCTTTTATAAAATGGCATAGTACTTATTTGCATATAACCTACACACATCCTTCTGTATTCTCTAAATCATCTCTAGATTACTTATAATACTTAATACAATGTAAATGTTAAGTAAATAGTTGTTATACTGTATTGTTTAGGGAATAGTGACAAAGGGGAAAAAGTCTGTACATGTTCAGCACAGACACAAGCATCTTTTTTTCTTTTTTTTTCCTGTATATTTTTGATCCAAGGTTGATTGAGTCCATGAATGTGGAAGCTGCCACTCCCCCCCATCGATTTGAAGGGCCAGCTATGATTGATTGTCTCATATGCTTACATCATAGTTTTTGTTGTTTTTCAAGAGGAATATTTATTAAATATTTAGTATATGTCAGGAATTTGGAAACTCTGCTAAGCACTTTATATGTTATTTTGCTTAATTCTCCTAGAAACCCTTGGAAGTAGGTATTTTCTCTATTTTACGTATAGGATATCATGGCTCAAAGAAGTTAAATAATTTCTGGCAAGTCACAAAGCTAGTAACATGACTACTATGTGGGAAGTGGCGATTTGAATTCAGTGCTGTCAGCTTTTGAAGTCCGTGTTTGTTCCCCTAAGCCATGCTGCCCTATAGAAGTTTTTATGTTTTTACAGTAACCAGATAAGCCCCTCTGTGGAGGCAACTAGAATGTTTAGGCATTTGAGGAATTAGTTAAGTGAAGTTTAAGTCACATACTCTTTTGTTTGAGCATTTGCCAATGAAAAATCTTTAATATATAAAGAAAGTTTGGTGAACAGGTGTAATGAAAATCAACAAAGAAATCCTGTGCTTACCACCACCATAGACCGATCATACTTTGTTGAAACTCTTGATTTTCTTTCTCCAACACTGGGCTGTGCTTCTTGAGGTCAAGATGCATCTTTCACTTTGGTTGTCTCAGCAGCTGAACACTGCATGGAACTTTGTAGACATTCAGTAGGTGTTTGTTGAATGAACAGTCATATAAATGAATACAGAAGTGAAGGAAAGGATTGGGGAGTTTTGGGGCCTTTACCTTTTATACTATTTCTCATGGCACAGATGTCCATGGAAAAAGTACAAGATGCCAAAGTATGCCACACAGATTTCTTGCTAATTACAAAGGGAAGAGAATGTAATTTTACAATGAAGAGCTCTGTTGTCAACATCCTGACCAAATGATTGCTAATATGACTCAATCTGATGTTATGAGCCAACTAATGTGATTTGCATTACCCATAAGATATTCTTGCAAAATGTTTACCTGAATGTAATTGAGAGTTAAACCAAACTCTCAGTTCACAGGAAATACAGAGATAGAGGAACAAGTTAAATAAAATAATTAAGCATACTAGAGTGTGGAACAAGATAATAGGCTAAGTTTCTGCAAAAAGATAATGCCATTTGTATATGACTTCCTTCCAAAGAGTACAATATGAAAAGGTGAGAAGAAGATTAACTTTACAGTGGAGAAGCCAAACACTACCTCAACTGATGATCAGGGTCAACATCAATAGTGATAAGTCATGTTAAACAGTATATATGCTTGGTATGATGGGGTGAGAATGGCCCTTTACCTCTGTAGTTTTCCTCCCCAGAACACATAACCCCAGTCTAATCATGAGAAAACCATCAAGACAAATCCCCCTTGAGGGACATTCTACAAAATACCTGACCAGTGCTCTTCAGAACTGTCAAGGTCATTAAAAACATGGAAAGTCTGAGAAGCTTTCCAGCCCAAGAGGAGTCTAAGGAGACCTGACAACTAAATGTAATATGGTATCCTGAGTGGCATATTGAACAGAAAAGGTACATTAAGTAAAAACTAAAGAAATCTAAGTAAAATATGGACTTTAGTTAGTTTTTAATAAAGGAGACAAAAATGGGAAACAAAACACTGAGGACCAATGTTAGATTGGTGCCTTGGTATTAGTCCCTTAAGCAGAATCTCGGTGGATATGTGCATATCTTGAATGATTTACAAAAAAGAAGAATGCCCTTAACAATAAAAGTGGCCTTTGTTCTTTAGGAATGTATTCATTACTCATTCCAGAACATTAATTGAGCAGATTTTATAAGATAGTTATGATTATGCACGAGATATTGTACTTGATACTAGGGACACAAAAAGAGAGCCATTATCCTTGATGAGCTTACATTGACAAATGTTTACAGCTAGTAGTATTAACTTACCTGCAGAAAGTGAATTGAAAAGGTATTTACATGTAGCCCATGAAGTAATAATCTTGTTCATCTTGTCATAACTAAATGTTATATTGGTTTGCATGGCAAAAGTTAAGATGATTTGGGAGTGAGGTCAGCAAGATGGTGGAATAAGAATTCCGAGGCCCTTATTCCCCCACAGATACACTGACTTAACACTATATGGACCAAATGGCCTTTTTGAGAATTCTGGAAATGATTTAAGAGGTTGCAACGTGATAGGTAAGCAAAAGCCAAGAAGAGCCACATCAGAGTGGGTATGAAAATTTGTTGCATTAACCTGCCATAGCCCCTTTCTCTCCCCAGTACAATATGGAGCGATTGGGAGAAAACTCCTAACCCCCAACCTCCGTTGGGAGGGGAAGGGAAAAGTGGAACATGCATCCGATGTTCTGGCTTTTCAGGGAGCTTCCTGAGGGACTGGTTTCTGTCTCACCTGACTCAGAGGTCAGCAGAATGACAGTGTACTTCGGGTGCCAGGTTGGGGCCTCCAAAAACAAAGATGAGCACAGTGGCTTGTTACAGTACCAAAGAGAATACAATACTTCAGACAAAATGTGAGTGGAGCAAGAGAGTGCAGGCCCTTAAGAACGGTGGCATACCTCTTTAACTGGGAAATTACACTCGTAACCCAGGGAAGGTGCATCCCCAGAAAAAGTTTCAGAGGCCCCTAGAATCTCTAGTCAGATTAATTCATGAAGGGCTTCCACTGTGTGAATCCAGTTCATCAAGAATGAGAGAAATGGCTGTTTTTCCAAATGTCCAAATCTCAGCAGATTATCTCACAAGGCATACAAAGGAACAGAGCAGTGTAGCTTAATCAGAGTATGAAAGTAAATGTCCGGAAACCAGCCCTACCTAAAGAACTGGAGGTCTGTGAATTAGCTGGCAAAGAATGTAGAATAACCATCTAAAAGATGCTCAATCAGCTAAAAGAGAACACAGACAACTAAATGAAATCAGGAAAATGACATATGAAGAAAATAACTTCAACAAAGATATGTAAACTATGAAAAAGAACCAAACAAATTCTGGAGCTGGAAATACAATAAATGAATTGAAAAATTCAGTAGAGAAGTTTGACTGTAGATTTGATCAATAGAAGAAAGAATCAGGGGCCAGCCCGGTGGCGCACTGGAGAGTGCGCCGCTTGGGAGCGCGGTGCGGGCGCAACACCGAGGGTTGCGATCCCGTTGCCGGTCCCCAGTACGGGCGTGACACCGAGGGTTGCAATCCCGTTACCGGTCAGTAAAAAGGACAAAAAAAAAAAAAAAAGAAGAAGAAGAAAGAATCAGCAACTTGAAGACAGGTCTATTTGAGTCTGAGGAAAAAAAAGAAAAAACAATGAAGAAAATGAAGAGAGCCTAAGGGACTTATCGGGCACCATCACCCAGATCACCATATGCATTTGGAACTCCCAGGAGGAGGAGAAGAGAGAGGAAAGGCCAGAGAGCTTATTTGAAGAAATAATAGCTGAAAATGTCCCAAATTGGAGGAAGGAAATGGACATGCAAATTCAGGAAGCTCAATGAATTTGAACTAGGATAAACCCAAGGAGGCCCACACTAAGACACATTATAATCACTATCAAAAGTCACAAAGAATTTAAAATTTTTTTTATTGAGACATGTTGATTGTATATATTTATAGGGTACAGAGTTATATTTCAGTACACGTATACAATGTATGATGATTACATCAGGGTAATTAGCATATCAAAGACAGAATCTTGATAGCAGCAAGAAAAACATGACTTCTTTTGTAGAAAGCAGCTTCCTATAAGATTATCAGTGTATTTTTCAGCAGAAACCATGCATACCAGAAGGCAGTAGGATGATATATTCAAAGTACCCAAAGGAAAAAAATTGCCAACCAAGAGTACTATATCTAGTGAAGGGGTCCTTGAAAAGTGAAGGAGAAATTAAGGTTTTCCTAGACAGCAAATGCCGAGGGAATTAATCACACCAGACCTACCCTGCAGGAAATGCTAAAGGAAATCCTTCCAGTTGTAATGAAAAGACATTAGACAGAAACACAAAAATATATTGCTTTCTGTTATAGGTAAATATATAGACAAATACAGACTTACGTAGTATTGTAAAGTTGATGTGTAAATTACTTTTAATTTAGGTATACAATTTAAAAGACAAAAACATAAAAATAACTATAAATCTATGTTAATATACAGTATAAAAAGATGTAATTTGTAACATCAATAACAAAATTAGGGGTCAGATGTAAAGGAGTAGAGGGGCCGACCCGGTGGCGCACTGGATAGTGCGCCGCTTGGGAAGCGCGGCGGCGCTCCCGTCTGAGGGTTCGGATCCCACATACAGACCGGCTCCCGCTCACTGGCTGAGCGAGGCGCGGGAGCAACACCGAGGCTTGCGATCCCGTTGCCCGTCCCCGGTC